CAGCAGAAATTATCTGTCATGGTGTGACCAGTAGCAAGCAGAGAGGAATACTTAGCGTACCGCCATGTTTACCCAGGATCTGTTTCCACCATCCTCTTATTTTTAAAATAGATTCCGCAAAATTTGGGGTTTGGGATACATTTTACATTTTACTTAGGTTGTCATTTGCTACATTTGGACTTAGTATGGCTTGTTGTCAGTGAACTGAAAATATTATTGTAAACTTGGAAGTTTCCCCTGACAACAGCTGACCTGCTATGTGGAGCTACAAGGGAGGGTCAATTTTTATACTGTGAGAATCAAACATCTTTGTGAACTTCTAATATATTTTATTCTTGAGAACGACCTTGGGTGTTAGTGGTGGTGTGTTTTGAGATGGACTCTGGCTAACCTAAACTCATCATCCTCCTGCCTCAGCTTTCTGAATTCTTTTTTTTTAATTTATAAAAGTTTATTAATTTATAAAAGTTTCCATTTCCGCCCCTCCTCCCAACACCCTTCCCCCCACTCCCTCTCCTCCTCCCTCTCCATCCCTAAGAGCAGTCAGGGTTTCCTGCCCTGTGGAAAGTTCAAGTTCCCCCCCTCTCCCTCCAGGTCCAGGAAGGTGAGCATCCAAACAGACTGGATCCCAAAAATCCAGTATATGCAGAGGAAACAAGTCCCACTGTCATTGTCAATGGCTTTACAGAAAGACCCTGTGCCAGCCACATTCAGAGAATCCGGCCACATTCAGAGAATCTGGTTGGATCACGTGCTCGTTCAGTCCCAGTCCAACTGGCCTTGGTAAATTCTCATTAGATCCGTCCCCTTGTATCAGTGGGTGAACGCACTCCTCACGGTCCTGCCTTTCTTGTTCATGTTCTTCCTCCTTCTGCTCCTCATTTAGACCTTGGGGGCTCAGTCCAGTGCTCCAATGTGGGTCTCTGTCTCAATCTCCATCCATCAATGGGTGAAAGTTCCCTCTGGTCTTACCTTCTTTGCTCACGTTCTCTTTCCTTCTGCTTCTCATTTGGACCTAGGGAGTTAAGTCCAGTGTTCCAATGTGGGTCTCTGTTTCAATCTCCATCCATCGCCAGAGGAAGGTTCTATGGTGATAAGCAAAATATTCATCAATATGGTTATGGGCCAAGGCCGGTTCAGGCACACTCTCCTCTGTCCAGAGAACAATCTGGGGATCTCTCCTTGGACCTGGGATCACCTTTATAATCAAGTCTCTTGTAAACCCTAAAATGACTCCCTTAGTTGAGATATATACTTCCCTGATCACATATCCATCCTTCCTCCCTCCCCCCCATCCCAATCCCCCGAGCTTTCCCCATTCCTCCCCTACTCCCTTCTCTCTAACCCTCTCCCCTTCCAACCCCCCCCCCACCATGCACCCGAGGTTGCCTGGCACTCTTGTCTACTTCCAATCTCCAGGAGGATAACTACATGATTTTCTTCAGGTTCCCCTTCTTATTTAGCTTCTCTAGGATCTCGAATAATAGGCTCAAAAACCTTGAATTAAGGCTAGAATCCACTTATGAGTGAATACATACCATATTCCTCTTTTTGGGTCTGGGTTACCTCACTCAGTAAAGCGTTTTCTATGTCCATCCATTTGCATGCAAAATTCAAGATGTCATTGTTTTTTACCGCTGTGTAAAACTCTAATGTGTATATGTTCCACACCTTTTTTAACCATTCTTCTATTGAGGGCACCTAGGCTGTTTCCAGGTTCTGGCTATTACAAATAGTGCAGCTATGAACATAGTTGAACAAATGCTTTTGTGGTATGATAGGGCATCTCTTGGGTATATTCCCAAGAGTGGAATTGCTGGGTCTTGAGGGAGGTTGACTCCCAGTTTCCTGAGGAACCGCCACACTAATTTCCACAGTGGCTGCACAAGTTTGCATTCCCACCAACAATGGATGAGAGTTCCCCTCTCTCCACATCCTCTCCAGCATAGGCTATCATTGGTGTTTTTGACTTTAGCTAATCTGACCGGTGTAAAATGGTATCTCATAGTTGTTTTGATTTGCATTTCCCTGATCGCTAAGGAGGTTGAGCATGACCTTAAGTGTCTTTTGGCCATTCGAAGTTCTTCTGTTGAGAATTCTCTGTTCAGATCAGCACCCCATTTTTTTTAACTGGGTTAATTAGAGTTTTAGTGTCCAGTTTCTTGAGTTCTTCGTATATTTTGGAGATCAGACCTTTGTCTGATGAGGGGTTGGTGAAGATCTTCTCCCAGTCCGAAGGTAGCCTTTTTGTCTTACTGACTGTGTCCTTTGTTTTACAGAAGCTTCTCAGTTTCAGGAGGTCCCATTTATTCATTGATTCTCTTATTGTCTGTGCTCCTGGGGTTCTACCTAGGAAGTGGTCTCCTGTGCCTATGTCTTGTAGACTACTTCCCAGTTTCTCTTCTATCTGGTTCAAAGTGGTCAGATTAATGTTGAGGTCTTTAATCCATTTGGACTTGAGTTTTGTGCATGGTGATAGATATGGATCTACTTTCATTCTTCTACAGGTTGATATCCAGTCATGCCAGCACCCTTTGTTAAAGATGCTTTCCTTCTTCCATTGCATACCTTTAGCCCCCTTGTCGGAAATCAAGTGTTCTTAGGTTTGTGGGTTAATATCTGGATCTTCTATTCAATTCCATAGGTCGACTTCTCTGCTCTTATGCCAATACCAAGCTGTTTTCAATACTATAGCTGTGTAATAGAGTTTGAAGTCAGGGATGGTTATACCTCCAGAAGTTCCTTTATTATATAAGATTGTTTTGGCTATCCTGGGTTTCTTGTTTTTCCATATAAACTTGATTATTGTTCTCTCAAGGTCTGTGAAGAAGTTTGATGGGATTTTGATGGGGATTGCATTGAATCTATAGATTGCTTTTGGTAGAATTGCCATTTTTACTATGTTAATCCTCCCAATCCAAGAGCAGGGGAGGTCTTTCCATTTTCTGGTATCCTCCTCAATTTCTTTCTTCAAAGATTTAAAGTTCTTGTCAAATAGGTCTTTCACTTCCTTGGTCAGAGTTATCCCAAGGTATTTTATGCTATTTGTGGCTATCATTAAAGGTGAAGTTTCTCTGATTTTTTGAGTGCTAGAATTGCAAAAGTGTATTTCTGCTTGACTGACCTGTGTTTTATTGGTGTATATCGTCAGTGTGTGTTTGGAAACATTTAATTTCATTTGCACTGGAGAAGTTTTACTTTTGAACTGTACCAGTAAGGCAAAGGTTTTTTCACTACAGAAATTTGATTCCTTAACAAGTGAACTAGCTAATGCCTAATTCTCAATGGAAACTTAATAATGGAATAATAATAATGTTGTTTATAAAATTAACTATGGATTTGGCTAAAGAAAAAGGTTATAAATCTGTCTCCAGGCATGAGTTACTGATCTGTCTTTGTGAGATTTAACAAAATTTACTCTTGGAAGACTTAGCTCTTGTCACCAAGGGAAATCAATGGGCTGTGCATTGGAGAACTCCAAAGATCAATTTGGCATGTGCCATTGTTGATGTAGTGAGAAAGAATGACTTCTGACAGAGGCATTGATTACTTGCCTCGCTCATTTGCGTTTCTTCTGATGTCTCTTGATATTCAAAGAACATTAAGCTATTTAGCATAACACTTTGGGGAATCAGCACAGACTTTCCCATTTACTTGTTAACTTCCACAGCGGTAGGGTTAGATTTTCCCATCTCTAAAGGTCTTCAATGGTTCAAAATACCATAACTCTATCACTGGATCTGCCTTCTTTAATATTCCTTTTGGCAACACTACCCAGGATTGGAGATGTTTCTCTTTTAATTTGAAACTAAAAAACATTGTGGATCACACCACATTTGGCTCACTAGAGTAAGGCTGAAGTAAAAGATTTATTTGTGTTCCTGACTTAATCTGATCAAAGGAGAAAAGAGGAGTAGGGAAAATAGAAATATTTATTCCTTGAACAGCAACATGAAAATTCAGACTGCCTGTTCTGCAGGAGAGGTACATTCACAGTGTTTTTATATATTCATGTCTGGGTAGGCATTTTCACTCGTACCAATCCCAGACCGCAGCACCCAGAAGCAAAACATTTTATTAGGTGGACTATTATACAGGGCTTTAGGAGATTAGTCTTTTGAATTTTAAACTAGTCTTTGTAAGGATGTAAACTTATACCTTCAGATTACCAGGGATTTAGCCTTCTAGCGGTTTTGATTATGGCACAAAAATTTTGATTAAAAAATAAGCAAAGAAGGCCTCGAAAATGTCAAAATTATATTCATAAAATCCTAATACTTAAGTTCACATAGTTATTTCAAAGACCCTTCCTCCCTCCCTCCCTCCTTACTTTTCTCCCTCCCTCCTTACTTTTCTCCCTCCCTTCTTCTTTCCACCTTTCTCTTCCTCCCTCTGTCCACCCCTCTTTCTTTCTTTTTGGTTGTTGTAATCAAACCAGGCAAGGACTTCATGACGGCTCAACTCCAGCTTGCCACATTCAGGAATTATATGAATGAATGTGTTCGTTAGCGTTCTGAAGTCCTCATTTTGAGATTCCGTTATTGAACTAGATAGAATCTGCCCGTGTTTCCAGCGGTGTTTCAGCCTCCTGCTGGTTATGGAATGAAGACGGAGTTACAGAGGGATCTGAGTTGCCTTGTGTGTGCTGGGAATAGAACCTGGGTCTGGTGCAAAAGCAGCCATTGCTCTTAAGCGCTGAGCTGTCTCTCCAGCTCTAACATCCCTATATTTTATGTGATATGCTAACCTGCTGGTGTTGACCAGCTTTCAAGAAAACCAACCTTGAGCCCCCTCTGATACACGCGTGCACTCGTTTTCCTCTTTTTCAGTCAGCGCACAGCTGAGGCCAAACTCTTCCTTCCAGCTCATTGCAGCAGGGTGTTGCTGGGTGTGCACGAGCACGTGTGCACTGCTGGGCAGATGCTGCCAGCACTTCCAGTCTAAACATTTCCTGAAACCTTGAAGTATGCGTTAAGTAATCATTAATTCTGGGTCTCTAGATGCGTGCGGAAACTCTCCTCGCTGCTGCAAAGTGTTCCATTCAAGACCATGACCAACCCTGAATGAAGTCTTCCAGTTCGATGTTGATGCATAACGTGAAGGAAGAGAAGCTGAAAAATGTGAGAAGAACAGATGTTCTGTGGTTTCAAGAACACTTCACGTTCTTTGGAAAATGCACAGTTGTTACACCTTAAAGTCCCAGCACGTTTAGAGAAATAAAGTCTGAATTAAAAAGTATTCTTATATTTTTTATGTATGTGGGTGTTTTGTCTACATGCACATCTGGGCACCATATGTGTTACGTTATCATGGAGGAGAGGACATTGGACCTTTTGGAATTGGAGTTACAGGTGATTGTGAGGCGCCTTGTGGGTGCTAGGAACCAAATCTGAGTTGTCTGGAAAAGCAGCCAGTGTTCTTAACTGTTGAGCCTTCTCTCCAGCCCTGCACTTTACACTTTGCAAACAATCTCTTGTGGATGAGATTTAGGAGAAACGTGATGTTGCATTGCTGGTTTCTTAGCAATTTGGTCCCTAGAACCTCTGCCTGATGCGCAGTTGTGTGATATGACACACAGGTGTTGCTGTCACCATTACTGGGAAGAGGGGAGCTATGAAAACAGTGAGCCTGAGGCTCTGAGCCCTCACGGAGTCGACCACTGAAGTAGGATGTGGGGAGAAATCACAGTGTGGACCACAGTACCGGGCAGACAAAAGTTCTTGGCTTGGAGACGTCTTGGACTCCTGTATGCCAGGCAAACATTACTACTGAGCTCTCTCTCTCTCTCTCTCTCTCTCTCTCTCTCTCTCTCTCTCTCTCTCCCTCTCCCTCTCCCTCTCCCTTCACCATTTTACTTTGAAACAGGATCTTGCTAAATTGGAACTCTTCCTCCTCCAAGTTCAGGCGGGTTTTGAACCTGTAATCCTCTTGCCTCAGCTGTCAGTTTTTTCGATTATAAACTGCAATGCCAGGTTCATCATAGTACAGCTAATTGTTATAATATCTTAAGTAAATTATGTCGTTTGTAGGCAGTGTGTCAAAGCAGCGTAGAGGAGGTTTTTGGTGAAAGCTATAGCTACAGAATTTTAAACTAGTTGATAGAACATAACCTTTTATTCAACACACGCTTTCGGTATAATTGTGTAATTCTATAAAGCACAAAGACTACAAGGTGCATGTGGGAGCCATGGCTGCCTACAACTAAGATCGTTTTGGGTACTAGTTCTGCCAAAGTTTTACACCTGGGAGCTAATAAGACTCAGTCAGCAATGTGATTGATATACAATCCCCCTCCCAGTAGCTAACACATACTTTCCAAAAAACGTCCAAACTTGATTCATGATTCTTTCAGCAGAAAAACACCTGTTGATTAAGTTTGAAGATACAGATGCTAATGTGGCGTGACTCATTTGCTTGTCAGAGTATACAAGGTAGAATAGATGTACACAAACTCTGTATGTGTGAGGAATTGTTATATGAAAGAAGTCTAGGAGAGGCAGATTCTCATGTTTCTCTCTACCGTGAGGTGTAAGTGGGCAACTTTGTTCTGATTCAGAGAGCTAGTCAAATAGTTTGTTAAGGCCTTGTGCTTTCTCTTTTGAAAAACTGCCAATGGAAATTGAATCCTACATGATTTTTGAAAAAGATTTATTTTTGTTTTTTTAAATTCTCTCTCTCTCTCTCTCTCTCTCTCTCTCTCTCTCTCTCTCTCTGTGTGTGTGTGTAAGTATGTGCACACAAGTCCAGCTGTCTGTGGGGGTCAGAAGGGCATGAGATCTCCTGAAACTGGAGTTACAGGAGATTGTGAGCTATCTAATCTCAGTGCTCACTGTAAGAGCACTGTAGGCTCCTAACTATGGAGCCATCTCTCCAGATCCAAAGTATAATTTTAAAAAAAAATCCATGGTTGACTATTTGGGGGGAAATTATCTCTCTATTAGAGATAGACAGTTTAGGGTTAACCTACTGGCGTTGGGTGCAATGAGGTGAATCCCAGGCCTTGTTTGTCTTTTAATGCCACTGGTGAATCTTCAGAGACCAGAAACTGTGCAGCTTCTGTAGTAGAGAATCTTCTAAATTTTATCCTGTCAATGGCGCCATTCCCTGGGTGAGTGTTTGAATTCTGCTGTGGAAGGGTCTTTTGGCATTTCCTGGAAGGCCTCTTGGATGCTGTGTGGAGGACAAGTCAGGGTAGAGGGTTAGTATGAGGAAGGTGGAAGGCTGTCTTTTAGGCTGCTGCGGCCATCAGTCATCCTCGGCCAGACCCAGAGAGTTCTAGCTGCTGGGCCCTGGAGTCGTCTCATCAGGAGTCTCTAAGTCTGGGCTAAAGAACTGCTGTGGTCTGAGCTGGTACCTCGCTTGGCATATTTTTAAATAATCAATTTTAAACTAATGATCTGCGTTGGAAAACACTGGGGAGATTTTTGTAGGCTTTTCTTTGTTTAATATGCTTCTTATTTGAACTGGAAAGCAGTTCAGGAAAAAGTGAAATAATGCCTCAGAAATATTTGTGGTCCTTGATATATGAGCCAGAAATGAGAAAAGCATAGGTTTGTTCCATGTGTAAAAATACATGTTACCATTGTATGAAAAAACCCAAGTCTTTGATGTAGGATATCAGGAATCACATTAAATGATTTTTCTCTTGAAATAGATAAGGTAATTACTGGTTCTGGGCTGTAGATCTGAAGCTATGAAGGTAACTGTGATCTTTTTGTTCGGAAATCTTGGGGAAAGGTTTCCAGATCTGGTCTTTATTCATTTTGGACATTAGAAATGTTAGGTGTTGTGAATACACCCAGAGTCATGAGAATAATTTGGGGAAGAAATGAGTAAAGTTGATTTGAAGGAGTTAACAGTTTAATTTGGGGACACAAATACAAATGGACCAAAGGGCATATTCTACAAGATGGTGTGAGATTATAGACTTTAAGGACGCCTGGAAAATAATATTATAATATCCTTTCTATTTTTCGCTATGAGAACATGAGCTATTATGTTCAGAAATATTTTTCAAGCCAATTAAACTTGCCTTCTTGATATCTTAGCTATTTATTTTTATTTGATGCTTATGAGTATTTGTCTTGGCATTGTATTGCGATGCCCATGGAGGCCAGAAGAGGGCCCTCTATTTCCAAGGGACTGGAGTTACAGATGGTTGTATGTCTCTGCTTGGGTGCTGGGAATTGAGGCTGGGTCCACTGGAAGAGCAGCCACTGCTCTTAACCACTGCTTCCCCATCTCAATATTTAAAAAAAAAATATTTCAATGAGAGGTTAGTATTACATTTTCTGAGCAGGAATTCACTTAGAAGTGATTCAGCCTAATATTTTCACTAGATAGCTGTTGAAATGGAATCTAGAGAATTATCGAAGGAAGAGTAACAACTAGGACCTAGGCCCTGGCCATTGATACGGTTCGTTAAGAAACACTGTGCTTTGGTATTATCTTCTGGTCTCTGGTAGATGTAGGGTTATTAGATTTTCTTAGTTTTTGGTTTGACATCAGGGCCTTTCTGGGATTGTCAGTATAGCTGGGTTGGCCTAGGAAATGTGTTCAAGTTGCTTCAAAAGTAGTTAAAATGTACCACAGTCAAAGACGCCTCTGTTTAAAAAACAGGGTCTCTTGTAATCCAGACTGGTCTCAAACTCATTCTGCAGCCAAGGATGACCTTAGCCTTCAGAACATCCTGCCTCCACCTCGTGAGTGTGGAGATGACAGGTGTTACCCCATGCTGGTGGATGCAGCGCTGGGCATCCATGCCGAGCTTCATGCGTGCCAGCGTAATAGATGCGTTTTACTTTTTCCTTTGCACTGCGGCTGCACACAGCTCTGCGTTACCTCGATTTAGAATGAAAATCTTCCACCGGGTATTTTAAAATGCACAGATAATAACAGATACCAAACATAGACCTGCTGTTCTTAAATTTGCTTCCTAATGTCTACTGTATCCCTTCCCCAGATCGACTTGAAATGAAGGTAAGGTCTCTAATATGGAGGCTGGAAGGACTTGGTTAGTGATTTTCACTAATACTAATACTAATAATATTTATTCATATTCAGCAACACTTGGGTTGGTTTTGAAGAAAAGATTGGAGTTGTAAACCTTCGGGCTCTTTCCCTTTCCTCTCCTATCTTTTGTTTTTGTTTTCAGGTTCTGTGTTTCGGTCTCGCCTTGATCTCACTGTGTAGCCAGAGACGCCTTTGAACTCTTGATCTTCCTGGCCTCTGCCTCGAGTGCTGGGCTCGCCGCTGCAAACCACCACATCCGCCGGTGACGTGTCTTCTAAATCTGGTTGTCATTCTTTTCCAGTACACTGGAGATTTCAAACCACAGCTCAGGATACTGGGAAGATGAAAAACCAGCAGGCGGCTCTGAATGGAGCTTCGTTAATTACCTTGTCAGCAGATGTTCACGGCTTCGCCTAGCGTACTTGATACTGTCGTGGGGAAGATTACGGCGTGCACGGCGTAAGGGAGTTTATAGTCTCATGCGGTATCTAAAAATGTAAACACACCTTATTGAAACAGCGATGATGATCACGAAGAATGGTCGCCAGCAAGATGGCCGTCTGGAGAAGTTTATTTCAGTACAGTGGCGGAGGAGGGCTGCTCCAAACTGTATTCCAGCGGAGATAGCCTGCTAGCGATGAGCTAGCATTCCTGTATTCTGGTGGATGTCTCTCAGAAGACAAAGGACCGTCATTAGAAGCTCAGGGGTCAAAGGGACTTTGAAAAATGTCAAGTGAATAGCGAAATTAAGGGATTATGATAATTTACACCCATGGTGAAGTAGAAGACACTATAAGCAACTTTACCAATATTCCAATATAGGACATAGTGAAGACTAGAATATCAGTGCCAATAGAGTTGTACTTACACTGAACATTTAAAAATTGCTTTCATTTTATGTGTCTGTCTCCCTATGTGGGTGGATGTGCGCTGTGTGTGTGGCAGAGTGGAAGGTGGCCCTATGCAGCCTCTTAGCTTCCACACCAGGAGCATACTGCACAGTTAATTTCAGATTTTCAACCCCTGGCCCCGTGACAGTAAATCTCTATTAGTTATTGCTTGTCACCCAGTCCGTGGGACTCTGTAATACAAGACAACTGAACTTTATTAACTCATTTGCGCATTAACATGTTACAACCATTTATTGAAAAATCAATTCATTTATTTCATAAAGGGAACAGCCATAAAT